TTATTGAAGCACTGCAGGTTAAACCACGGCCACTTTGGCCACAGACACCCTTATCCATGCACATGTTTAAATTTTCCATGCACCTTTAAAGCTTGAAATGCACTCCAAAGTTACCTATGTAGATCACATGTTGATCAGACATTGCAGAGATCCGTAGATTCCTGGCAGGGTGATTAAAGACAAGCTTTTCATTGCTGATTTCAAAAGAAGGTGGCCAGCTCTCTTTTCTGAGCGTGAGGTATTGTTATCATTATATTGTCTTGATTACTCCATTAAAAAAATAAATAAATAAAAATTGTAAAGTGTTCAAATTTTTCATGAATATTCACCCAGAGCTGGAAATTGCAATTTTCAAATTGGATCTGCAGTTAAGAAAGCGCACCACTCCCACTTCTGATTATTTCACATTGTTTTAACTAAAATGAATCAGAAAATAAAAATGCATTTCATGGATTTCATTGTTGTTATTATTTTCCTACATCATATTGTTGTGGTCCACCAAATACTTTTTTCACATTTTACTGTAATTCTTAAATGTTTGCAGGTGGAAGCAGAGTTTGCCTGCATCACCACTGTCCTACATCCAAATTCATGCAGCAGCTAGAATTCTGTGCGGGTTATTTTTGGGTGCTATAACTTTTGGTGTTTCTTCCTGTTATTCTTTCTATAATAACCTTTTCTCACAAGATTTTGTTTACAAAGTAAGTAGATTTGGAAAAATCTCCCTAAACCTAAGATTTAAACTGTTTAAAGTGATACTTTCAGCTGCAGAAACTATTAAAAGTTTTGGGTATTTTGGACTTTTCAGTGATTACTTTTTGTGTTTCTTACTGTAGTTGTTTTTTTACTAGTGTTGTTTACTGCATAATACAACAATAATCTTACACATCGCCCTCTTCTTTGCGGCAGTAAGATGCCATTTAAACTAAAAGAGCTTGTGTACTGAAGGTGCTAATTGTTTATCTCAGTGACGACCCAGAAACCCTCATAAAGGAGAACATGATAAGTTTAGTGGCCTCTGCTTTCCACAAATTTGCTTTGTGGAAGCAAAGAGAATGTTTTTGCAGGTTTGTGTTCTGGCTAAAGATGAATTTCTTTTTATTTTGAGAACAACCATTAGGGAATGCACCAGGTCCAGAACCCACAGACAAACTTGAAAATGTTGGGCTAATCATTGAAAGTGTTGAAGTGCTCCATGACCTTGGTAACATTGCAATTCCAGTTGCCATTTTGTTTGGCCTCATTTACTCACTGGTCTTGAGCTACAGTTGAGCTACTTGAGTTCAGACAAGAAATTGCAAGAAAACAGAGGAGCACTGAAAGACTGTTAAGTGTAACTTTGAAATGGAACTGCAGAACACTTGGAACAAGGGTTTTTGTCCACAACCATCAACAGAACTGGAATGTTTTTGATCCAGACATTGAGCTACTAATGGTCTTTGGAAACTATGTCTGAATATGTTTTAGCAGCTTTCAAATTGTTCATATGAGGTTTTTGTTTTATGTCAGTCAGGGAAGGGGGAAAAATAAAAATGGCGTCATGTCTGGGTGAGTTGCAGTGCTTCTCCAGCAGCTCTAGGTATCCTCCCCCATGTGGAGCCATATTAGCCCAACTATTCTCCACACCTGTTGGCAATTCAGCTGACGGTATTTAAGACCAGCGCTCTCAGTGAGTCTTCACCAGAATGTCTGCTAACATTAGCTAGTGCTGGGCCTTCAATTTGTGTACTTGTCGTTATTCATTCTTGTTGCGTTAACTTATCGTTTCTTGTGTCAAAGTACCTCTCAGACTATTCACTCATCTGTGCAGTTCCTCACCTACCTTTTCATTGCTGGTCACTCCGTCATTCAGATAACCTGCTCCACCTGCCTGCCCCCCGCTGTCACCTCTGGTCTTGGAACACTGTGGAACTCTGGACTCTCTTGATCACAGCCAAACAGACACTCACCCCGAACCCGCTGGCAGTTTCCCCCCCACGCTTCCTCCGACCTGCTCACAAGTAAGGCAGAAACTTGTTTCCACCTGTTTACTTGTCTTACCTCCTCCTAAATACAGTTAAATAACTTAATAGAACTAAATTCATGTTTTTATGCATTAATTAACACATTTAAGCATTTTTTTTAGGAGGGGGTACTTTAATTAGGTCATTGCAGAGTGTACAGCCTGTAAGGGTTTTATAAAGAATGAGTTCTGCTGTGGGCCTCTCATTGCCTGTTTGTGGAAATAACAAATGATGAACTAAAGCCATGTCTTGACATTTAAATCCTTAATTTATCTGATTATGTCATGATTAACATGGATGACATTTTTATTTCTCATAGCTGAGCTGGTGAGTTCAGTCAGTCTACGTCAGATGGTCGTCACAAATTTGAGGAACCAGCCTTTAAGCATTGGACTCTATAAACAATCAAATCCTCTCCCTTTACCATGACCTGGTTACGGGGTCCAAGGAGTTTCCTCATATTGCAGTCAGGGGATTGTTTCACTCAGAGCAGAGGGAGAACACCACTCCATCTCCTTCTACAAGCTCACCAGCTGGTATGATGGTGCTGCCTGCAGGGTGCCACTTACATTCTCAGATCCTGACTCCTGTACTTCCAGACAAGGTGGATATTTATGCACTGAATACAGACCGGAGGAACTGTGTCCCCACCTTGGTGACGGCCTCATCGTCACTAGAGTAATCTCTGCTCTTGATCGCACAGAAGACAGTGAGATGACAAACCACTGGAGAGTCACGGACTACAGCTCAGAGGCAGAGTTATCATGTCGGAGTTCTGCCAGTTTCTAAAGACGTTTAGACAGGGTGCGAAGAGAGAGGCTACAGAGGACGAGAGCAGGAGCCCCACTCCACCAAGGAAACTGAAGCCTTCCCTGGAGAACTTATTTTCTCAAGACTCTTTAAGTTTTAAGACTTTGGCATTGATTCCATCAACTGCGTTGGACATATGGCAGGGCTGTGACTGGATGTTGAACCAGGGACATCTATTGTAGAGCCAACTGTAAATCGGTGCAAAATGAAGTAAGGATCCATAAAGACAGTGCCAAGTGGATCGGCAAGAATCAAGAAAGTGGTGAGGAATAAGTAATGTTGTCTCTAAAATGTCCCAAAATGTTAGAAAACATCTTTAAATTAACTTTTATTGTTGCTTTTAAAAGTCAGAAAAGGAGAAAAAAGAATTTCTCATTAAATTACACTGATTTTGTTTAGTATGTTTCTTCTTTTATTAAAGATGCCGGCTTCTCATTTCCGGTTCTGGTCTCTTCACTGTGCTGTGCTCCATCACTCCTGCAACCTAAAACTGGTCTAGTAACTTGTGTGTCTTACAGTGACATAAGTGCTACATAGGGGCTTTAGCTGTATAGCTCAAATTTCTCTCTACGATGTAGGGTTTGGATTTTCTCTCCTAAACTGATCGTCTGGCAGTCTCCGCCGGTCGATCTGCCTGAGTGTATGTTTTTCTGTTTTGTTTTGGCTCCCCTGCCTTCTCCTGTATGTGTGTTTTCCAGTGTGCCAGTTTATGGGTGTCATCAGGCCAGAAGGTCTTTCCCACGCTGAAGCCAGCCACACCTGTCTTCCATCTAGATTCCAGGTGCTGCTGATCACTTTCGCAAAGTGGTTACTAAACTGTTTGACTGAGCTTGAGTCAACGCTGGATCGTTCAGTTACTGAGTTGGTTATTTGGGTCCTGTTCTCACCACGCACCTTGACATAAATAATAAACACTTTGGTTTAGAAACTGCATTTTGTCTTTAGTTGTGTTATCATTGTCTAATATTTAAATTTGTTCAATGATCTGAAACACTTTTTTACACCAATGTATGTACGTAAAAGTTCTGTTCAAAAACCATCAACAGAATCATTCCAACAATGTGAACCTGAAGCTGTCACTGCAACTCTACTAATGCCCAGTTTGTAACAACAGGCATGATGCCTCATGCTACAAAACAGCCCTAAGAGATGCAGTTAAATGTGGCCTCAAAGTCCAAAAAACCGCACACATATCATACAGTTGGGCAAACTTGTCGACACTGTTCTTCAGAGGATAAAGTGCTGGTGCCGTGTTCCACCACCAGACTTCCAAACTATGTTGCAGAGATGTGCCAACCAGGAAAGAACAAGAGCCTTATGGCCATTTTCAGAACTTTTTTTAAATTGTAATTCTAAGAATCGTTTGGCACATGGTGTTTTGGAAATGTAAATAATGATCAAATGATAACTACAACAGTGGCATTAATAATAATGTTACTAAGAGTTATAGACCTTCATTTCTTCTAAATCTGTGTGTAGAACACCAACAGATTCATTAAAATATAGATGAATCACTGACTTGTGAGACTGTTTCAGTTTCTTTAGTTATATCTCCTCCTGTTTTCTTGCTTTAATGATGCAGGCTTACACTATCATCACTTTCTCCACTTCACCTTGAGGTAAACTTGCTTCTTTGCAAAGAGTAGTAGAAGCATGGCACTATATGGATGATTCAGAGTCACTAACAAACACACAGTGGCATGAACAAAATTTGCACAGGTTTTCTGTAATTCTGTGTGCGCTTGTGTTTTTTGCTCAGGATAACAATGTTTCCATACACATACTGAACGAGGCCCAATGTTTTTCACAGAAAAACTGGATCTACGTAGTTCTGCCTGTATTTTCTTCACATGGCTACACTGCTACAATTATACAATTTTAATGGTTTAACCAGCTATAGTGGGGATAGTGCCATCCACCTTGGAAGATGATGGCCAATTCAAAGTTTTTATACTTTGTGTTTATTGGTTGTTGGAATGTTCAGAGAATCCCCTGACCACATTATTGAGGCTTACAGATACAGTGACATCTGTATGTACACAGCTGTGCTGCAGTGCAGTTATGTGGAGCCTCAGCAAAGATGAATATTGTCAGAAACATCAGTTTTATTACTTCACTGAATTTTTTTATTTATGTATTTCATATAACTGAAAATGAATAGGAAACCTATAAAAGACACATTAACACACAGAGTGCATAATAACACAAATAATCATACTGGCAATGATTGCTAATACCAAGTCAATTAAAATCCACCAAGAATGCAGTGTTTAAGGTTTTGTTTTGTTCATTACACTCTCAGGTGACATGTGCTTTTCAAACATTACCTTTAAACGGTTTAATGTAGTGGTCATTCCATCCACTCACCTTTTATCTTCAATATTTTTGAGATGTTGGTGTTTGAGACATTGCAGATTTCTGGCATTTTGTGTAAATTTAAGCATTTCACAATTTGATTACAGTATTTCTAATAAACAAAAAGAGTGTGAAACTGAAGTTAGACTTGTGTGTGGAAATGAACCACCTCATGTTGCGTAGCTCTCTGGATTTTACACTTACTGGACTGCATACTTATTTAGTATATACAGTACAATAAATCAAAATGTGCATGTTTTTTACGTAACTGAAACGTTTAATTATGTAGGTTAAAGAAAATATGTATATTTATATGAAAAGTGTGTACATACTGCATTTGATGTATTACACCCATATATAATGCGCATTACAGAATGTAACGTGTAATTTTTCCACCCCATTTGATTTCACCCTCATGCCGCCCTAAGAAAATTTCTCTAGATCCGCCCCTGAAAGAGAGCTGTAACTGAGTAATAAGTATGTACTTGTAAATGCAACATCAGACCTTATACATTAGCCTGTGTACAGCTCACTGAGCAGCTACACGGGCCCTTCAGAGGTTTCTAAGTGATGGGAGGGATACCCTGGTCTGTCTGTGCACAGAATACTGAAGCTGCTGTGACGAAACTCGATGGCAAAAGTGCTGATGAAGATGAGCAACATCATGATGACTGCCCACTGGCATTGACTTGCATGCATATGAAGGCGTTGAGACATCAGGGCGAAGTCTGTGTCGATGGAGTTAAGGGTTCAGAGAGTGAAGGTGTGAGCACATGAAAAATGAACATCGCATTATATTGTTACAGTTCTCTACCAGAATTATGTGCTATTCATCTGCTGAGCTGGGTAGAAAATAAACTCCATCCAAACTAAGAGCAGAGAGACGGTCTGAAAGTATTTTTAAGCTCCTTATTAGGTAGAGAATCAGCATGAACCAATTACAGTTTCTACAGATGTTAGACAATCTAACATAAAATGTTTAAAGATCAAAGCCAAGAGAAAATACAAAATCTATCAAATTAAAACATTAAATGTTAGAATATATGTATATCAGGAAATTCTAAAGATGAAGCATTAACGATACAACCCAAACAAACTGTCATTTCAAATAAACAGAGTGCCCCCCCCCCTTCTTATTTTTTTGCATATGTGTCCCACTTACAAGTTTCCGGGCATCAAACAAATATCAGATAAAGTATGTATTATATATTATGGTGATATCACTTCTCTTTAGTCTGGAGAGCGCAGTGTCCATGAGACTCAAATTTCGATTCCCCTGACCACAGAACAGTGGACAATGCCTCAGTCCATTTTAAAGTCTGCAGGGTTTCCGGATCATTCTCACTTATGGCTTCTTCTTTGCACGACAGAGCTTTTACCTGCATTTATGGATGGCACGGCTTTGTCCACAGACAATAACAAACTTCCTGAAAGTGTTTCTGAGGCCATGCATGCGATTATCAATGCAGAATCATGGCTGTTTTTTATGCAGTGCTGCTTAAAGGCATAAAGAGCATGGGTATCCAGTACTGAATTTCAGCCTTTCCTCTTATGCACAGACATTTCTCTATTTTCTTCAAATCTTCAAATAATACATATGTTGATGATGAGATCAAAGTCTTTGCAACTTTGTGTTTAGATATATTATTCTGAAATACTCCACAACTTTAGACAGTTTTTTCCACAGACTGCTGAACCTCTGCCAGTTTTTACTTCCAAGAATCTCTGCCTCTTACAGTATACCCAGTCATGTTACTGACCTGTTGCCAGTTCACTGTATTAGTTGCAAAAGTTCCTGGAGCTGCTTCTTTTTAGTACCTCTTACTTTTCCAGCCTCTTGTTGCCCTTTTTTTGGGACCTGTCGCTGCCATTAAATGTCAAAATGAGCTTAAACACTTGTTATGTTTCTGTGTTCTTCTGTAAATAGAATATGGGTTTCTGAGATTTGCAAATCATTGCATAATGTTTTCATTTACCTTTTACACAAAAGGTGCAAAACTCTGTGGGACCTGGAGTTGTAATTCGTTCTTGAATGACAGTAAGGGAGCGTTTTTGCTCTTTTGCATTTCATGTGAAAAATGGGCATCTCACTCAAATGAGTGTATTCTTCTCTTTATACCAAGTAAAAGGATACAAAGTATCATGCAAAGAGTGATGGATCCAGACAACAGGAATCGAGGGATGGCGGCCATCTTCCCCTCATTCTTCAGGTTAACTCTCAGGGTGATATAGGACTGCAGCCAGCAGAACAAGGTTCCAAGTCCAAACACCAATACGGCGCCAACGTTGTGAATGTTTTCCTCAGTGAATACCTAACACAAAAAGAAGTCAGCCAGTAAACCCAGACTTCAGTTATTAAGTCGGAAAATTAACCACCAGATGACGTGGTGTATGTATGAGCGTGTGTATGTTTGTGTGTAACTACCTGAAAATTCCCTACAATGGTCATTCCAAAGGAGCTAATAGAAAAAACCACCAAACTAGAAATGTTCAGCCAAGGTTTGTCAATTTTGCCCTTCAGCTGCAGGTATCTGAAAAACCCAATAAAAAACCCTGAAAACAGGAGAAGAAAAAAAACCTCTCAGCACACAGCGAGTAGGTTAAAAACAAGATTTCTTTTTCTTTCTTTTTTTTAAATGAGCTGAAAGATGTTCTGAATCAATGAAAACAGCAAACTAATGTACTGTCTATGTATCCAAAGCTTGATATACGTTTTTTCTTATGAGCTCCATCGCTGTCTTTTAATGAAAGCTCTAGAGCAATGTTTCCATTACCTACAAATGCTGCTAGGTTCATGACTTCACTGAAGACACAGCTGGCTGGAGGAAAGTTGCCTGCAATACTGAGACAGGAAGCAGGAGAAAAATCATATTTGCTATTCTTAAATTAAACGTTTTTTATTGTTAATATGATATGAAACGGAGAGCACAGCACACACCTCATGTAGGGGGGATAATGGGAGCCATTTCTTCTCCTAAAGCAAATGAACAGCATGAATCCACAGATACATCAAAAGAAATACCTGAAGTGTATAAAATATATGAATTCAAACCTGTATTGTGAACCCAGCGGCGTTATGTTCTCATTGTAAACAGCTATGAAGTACCTGTTTAAAGGCAGCAACACAGAAAGAAACATAATGAATAAAACATTCTGTAACAAAAGTGGAAGCAATACTGAGGTGTGTGTGTTTGTTTGTTTTTTAACTACTCTGGTTTGAAATATTTCGATCATGACCTGCTCGTCTACATACATACTTTCATGTAACGCCAGCGTTCATAGTCTCTTATCATCTGGTTTTCATCTTCATTTCCCATTTTTGTTCCCTTTCTTGTAGTCTTTCACTGGTAACCTACTGGTAAACATAACCCACCCTCCCTAGCAGGTTGGGTGTGCACACGCGTGTCATTCTGTCTGAGAACATGATCGCTCAAAACGTTTTGAATGAATCCTGATAAAACTTTGTAGGTGTAGGGTGGGGTGATGGTAACAATCCAATGAAATTTGACTTACATCCACCGAGAATTATTGGTTGGAAAGTGACAAAAAGCCTTATAACTTCAAAACTATGACTCTTATACGTGTGGTGTCTATTGTCAACATATAGAAAATTTGCCTTTCGTTCAAGTTGAAACCAAAATGCATTTTTATTGCACTACAAACTTCTTCAAGTCCATTTAAAAAGAACAAAGAAAACCAAAATACAAAGCGGTTCTGTTAAAAGTAAATACTCCTCAGAGAGTGAGCTGCCTTGGTGCAGGTTTGGGCTGTCGGAGTGCTTCTTGTTAGTTTCTGATTTGTGTGTCACATGTTTTTCTTATCATTTTTAATCTCTCTTTGGTTAATCTTATTCGTCCCTAATATTTGACTTCCTGTTGCTCATTTTACACATTTCTTTCTAGTCGTTATGTCTCTGTGTTGATATTGTGTTTTTTTAGTTGCTTATCAGACATAGATATTTGTGTCAGTGCTGTTTTGTGTTGCAAGTGATCCTTTTGGTGTCTTCATGGTTTTCTTTTATTGGGTATCTGTATAGTATAAGTGCCTTGAGGCGACTGTTGTTGTGATTTGGCGCTATATAAATAAAATTGAATTTCATTGAATTGAATTGAATAGTACAGAGTGTACACAGATAATAACCAGTTAATCTGGTTATCTTTGTTGCTTCTTTGGCTCTTTTTAACTGTTCATATACCTCTCTGAGTGTATATATGAGGTTAATGTGTTCCCAAAAAGAACAAAACTTACACCGTCAACAGTCCAGCAGCAGTACAAACAGAGTAGATGGGAGGCAGAAGAGCCCACAGGCTGAAATTCACCATCTTGCCCTCTCTCAATCCACAGATGAAGATGCTGTGTTAGTCTGCATGATAACATGTATTTGTTTAATATATTTGAAGTGTAAAGGAGATGGAGATTAATAGACAAATCGTTCAGGTGGACACAATAGCAGGGTCCAGAAGGGATACAGCAGGAAATACTTTCAAGAACTACTTCTGAGTTACCTCTTGCATTAATTTTGCGTTTTCTTACTTTAGCTTGTATTACCTGAAAGCGGAAGAAGCAGCTAAATTACAGATCCAGCCTGGCTACACAATGCTTTTGTATTAGATTTCCTGAAATGACCTTTTTTGCTAACTCCATTAAGGATCTACAGCTGGACCCATGTGACCTACCGACCGGAGGTATGTTTATTATTATGTTATGATGGGGTGACACAGGAGGGACAAGGAAAACCGTTAACAGGACGCGTGGGAAATCATGATATGCTGTCATAAATACATATAGCTGTTAAGCTTTTGTGCACTACAAATGCACCCTTTAAAGCGACATATTAGCAAATTTAGCTCCAAACAACGTTTAAAAAAATGCGATGTTATATTTTTCACAGCATTTACAAATGTTTAACATCAAAATGAATCTTAAATTTACATAGTAGATCTAAACCTTAAATGTGTGTGACATGTGAGCGAGCGCTGGAAGGAGCACAGTTAGAGTTCACGAATCCCTGACCCATCCACACCCGACTGTTGGGGGGGTTAGGTCATCTTTTTTTTGGAAAATCTTATGAGGACAATAACAAGTTATTTGGAATCAGACTTTCAGACACAGTGACTTAAATCCGTAGGATCTAATTTTCATTTCCTTGTAGCAAATGTGCAACTGGTTTGTGACCAGGATTGTTTGAGACATGTAAAGTATACTTTTATATTCACGAGGAAGGCGATGAAGAAGTCATTTGAACTATTTCTAAATTCTTAAATCTCCCTTTTCCTTGCGACGTGTCTCTCAGTGGGAAGACAGAAGAAGAAACACTGTATACGTATTTTAGGACCATCAGGAAGCGAGTTGTGTAGTACTGTCAGATAGAGTTATGACATCTGCACACAAACATTACAAGCAGATAGCAGGCTGTTCTGATCGGTTAGCGCATATCAAACTGTGGAGCATACCTGTCTCTGTGGCGGATAATCCCCGAAACAGCGCACCGAGGAGCGGACTTGATGGTCCCGCAGGTATATCGTGTTCACAGTCCGCTGGCAGTCCCGGGACTGTCCGCCCGCGGTGCTGTCTGTGTGCCCGCAGAGCGCCCTGCTGTCGCATGGGGGCAGTGTGCAAAGTATGTGGTACAACCGGTCTGTGGGCGTCTGTGCTGT